TCTTTATACATACATACTTATGAAGGGTTGTGCATCCAGACGTGCTTGCCTCCTATCACCACAGACTTTTTAATCACTGTGTTCCCCTCATATGAAGACGGCTATTAATTAAATATAAATAACAAATTGCCAAAACCTGTAGGAACTCATTAATATTAATAATCTTTAACTTACTTTTTATAAAATGAATAAAGAAATATGTTACAACTTACATTGGAATTCTCTTTTGAGTTGTCCACAGCACAGTTAGCTTTACCTCCAGTCAAAATATAGATTAACTTTCCTTGTTCCAAAGTACTATAACAAGCTTTAACATCTATAAATACAAGAACTTTTACAGCTAACATGTATTTGCCACACCCTTTCACTTTGGTAGTGTAGTTTCAAGTGACTGCTTTCTGCTCTACTGGCTACTGTTCTCATACAAATGAGTTTCACAATTAGCATATAAGCCTACACCTGTACTCTTTGGCATATAACAGTACATAGGTAATCACTATAATACTTTGCACAGTAATCATGTAATCCTCTGATTATTAATGATGCTAACAACACTAATAATAATAATAATAATAATAATAATCATAAATACTAATAACAATAATAAAAAATCATCACCCATAACAATGATGAAGAGCAATTGTCCAATCCGTATTTGTATACATTACAGCTCTGGGACATTGAACAACAAAAAAGGCTGAGAAACATGTCAGGCCATGCTGCACGTGTCAGTGCTTTAAGCTGGAATAGTTATATATTATCAAGGTTAGTTAATTTCGACAGTGGATTTCTTTATGCTGATTGTTTTTAATGGCAATGATAAAAATAAAATTTTTCTTTATTTATTATGAGTATTATTTTTATTATTGTTGCTGTTTTTTAAAGAATATTTATTGCATTATAATTATTGTTGTTGATGCTTATCTTTCATTATTATTTAATATTATAAATATTGCTATAAATATTATTATTTTTATGATTACAGTATTATTTTTTTCTATTATTTGATTTATTTTTGTATTGTCTGTGTTGTTGTTTTCACTATTATCATTGATTTCTTAAATAGGCATCTTGTACAGGGACATGTTCTGTTTTGGCCTACCAGACTCTTACATTTGAGTTTTGAGTGAAATAAAATTATGAATTAGGAATATTATAATCACATCTAGTAGGAGAGCAAGATGTTTCCATGAACCTAAACAAACCTGTACAGGATTTTGTCAAGTGCAACTATATAGCTATTAAAATGTAACAGTACTCCATGATGTGTTTTTTTAAGTTATGATGCTGCTCTCATTCTACTGTGTATCTCTTTTTACCTGCTGTACAAACAAATTGAACATTTTATGTTAATATTTTAAACTTTGAGTTATTAATTTTCAGTGGTTCTCGTAGTGGAAAAATTCATCACCATGATGTTCGTGTTGCAAATCACCATGTAGGAACATTAGAAAATCATGTGCAAGAAATATGTGGATTAAAGTGGTCTTTAGATGGCAAGGTATTGGCAAGTGGTGGTAATGATAACATTTTAAACGTCTGGTCAGCTTCATCAAGTAACCCTTTGCACACCTTCACTCAGCACCAGGCAGCTGTCAAGGCTCTAGCATGGTGTCCATGGCAACCAGGTCTGCTAGCTAGTGGTGGTGGAACTGCTGATCGTCACATACGTTTTTGGAATGTAAACACAGGATCCTGTCTTAACAGTGTTGATACAAAATCACAGGTACTATGCTTTTATGCTTTTTGATTATACCTGAGCATAGTTTGAGACAAAATGTAATCTTCTAAATAAAAAAAAGCAAATTTCAGTTCATGATCCATATCCCAACAATGCACCTCATCAATAGGTCTACCATTGAAAATATGTAATTAATAATCACATCATCATTTGTCTCCTTCAGAACACAACAGATCTATTAATCAGTATTAATATTCAACCTTGAAGTGAATAGGTCACATTCATTNGTCACATTCATTTTTTTTTTTTGGGGGGGGGTGGGAGAGGGGGAATGCATAAACAGTTCCACCAACAATCAAAAGCCTAATTGTAAATTACTGTCGTTCATACTGTGAATTTTTCCAGCATCTATTAACACTTTTTTTTTTTCATTTTAGTTTTTCAAATAAAATATAAAGGTTGAAGAAATTTTACAAATGAATTTCATACTAATATTTGTTTAGGTTTGTTCAATTCTGTGGTCACGAGAACACAAGGAGTTAATATCTGCACATGGATTTGCACAAAATCAACTAATTATCTGGAAATACCCCAGTATGCATCGTGTTACAGAGCTTTTAGGTACGTCTTCTCATTCTCTACTTCCATACAGGACAAAGGTTCCTATGTAGAGCATCAGTAAGTAGGTTTAAAGAAAACAGTAATAATAATAATGATGTTTATAAAGCGCACATACCCACTGCAGTAGTTGCTACTGTACAGTGTTTCTATTCAGCTTTTAACAATAGTGGAGCACTGGTGGTTGAATGTCAATTCTATCCAGTCGCCCTCATTCAAGTCCAAAATTTGCTACTTTCCTTTCTCTTTAATGATAAAATATGCCATAATTGAAAAAAAGCAAAATCTAATCTTAACTGTAATTAACATCTTTACTTGAGTAACTTAAAAATGTAGAAGACATTGTTTTCTTGCTTACTTTCATGAATAAGAGATTCTCAGTTGTCACCTTGCATTTAGTTAATAGTATCAGACTCTGTTTTTTTTAGATGACCTGAATTGACTTATGTTTTTTGCAGGTCATACACAAAGAATACTTCATATGTCAATGAGTCCAGATGGGTCAACTGTAGTCTCTGCTGCAGCAGATGAAACCCTGCGATTATGGAAATGTTTTGAAGTACCAGACAAAGTTAAAAAATCCTCAGCATCTGCCAAGAAGCTTGGTGCTTTGAGTATGAGACAGAGCATAAGGTGATGCCTTGTTGTTAGATACAGAGAGCACAACTGTATAAATTGTACACAGTGTAAAACTGAAAGATTAGAAGGATTAGAAGCAAATTTGTTCATAATCACTTGACTAGATAAAATGGATGAAAACACTAATCAAATAATCAAAATGTAGTGGGATCTTTATTAATGTTATTACAGATTTGAGTCAAGTAAAAATTATCATGGAAAGTCACGTACAGAAAAATTTGTACAGTATTTTGCTACATCTTCCTTAGGCAAAAGGCGCTGTATTATTATTATTTTTATCATCTTGAGTGAAATTTTTTACCAACTTGAAATTTAAATTAGTCTTTTTGTTAAGTGATAACCACTTAGATTCTAACTCTGTAAATTTTAATTTTTATAAAATATCTATACCTAGATGCAGGTATGGCATAACTCTAACACTATTTTATTATTGCTAGGCCTATATTAGGATATGGCATACCTAGCACAATTTTATTATTGTTATAGTATTCAATATTAAACTATGCATACAGTATATGCATATTCACATTCCGTGTTATTTTCATTCAAATGGTTAAATATTGCAAGTAATACAATGACATCTTATATATGCATGGTTGTTGAAACTGAGATGGCAATAAATTATGTTCATTAAATCTTTGATTTGTGATATTTATTTTAAGAAAATGTTGTAATAAATGCACCAGATTAACTTTTAGGACAGGCGCTTATCAGTGGCGTATTCAAGGGAAGACAGAGTGGGTGGGTGCAATCATCTCATTTTTGTTGACAAATTAAATTACTTTAGACATTAATTATAAGCATAATTGGTCACAAAGTCCATTTATCCATAGTTATTCAGAGTGACAACAGTTAAGACAAGCAACATATTCACATACTTTTAGCGCATCTAGTTTTATCTAATCGAAAACACATAATCGTGAGGGAAGTTTTCAGTATTTGACCAATGTTGGTCACAATTTATATACAGTACAGTAAACAAAAGATACCATATGGTATTACAGGTACAGTACTTGAAAAACGATTTACTGTAATTTTGGTCAGTTGGTTTTGGTGTGAGTTGTTAGTTGGGTCAAATTGTCTGCTAGGGGCCGAAATTGCCAGCAATTTTGGATGGAGTTTGTGCCGAGTTTGTTCTGGTTCGAATTGACTGGTATTCACAAAACCCATCCTATTTTAAGGACTACAAGAGTCAAATAGTATACTGTACATATATTTTTTAATATAGGCAATACATGTTTGCATCGAGACTTTGACCTTGGTAGGTACGATAATAACACAGGTTCTTAAAAAAAAGAATGAATAACCCTGCAGCAGCTTGTTGTGCATGGTAGCTTTGTTGGTTTCTTGGCTCGCATGGCCCTGCCCACTTGTGCTCCCATCAGAGACATCGCCATAATACTCATATGCCGTAATCAGAGAATTTTAAATATTAAACTAATCATCTAAAACTATTAGAATAAAGTTTTAAATATATGGTAGTCAATTAAAACATATGCATACAGTAGGCCTAAAATATTTTGATATACCTGTACTGTACTACTTTATAATTTCTCAATTTTTATAAAGTCTAAATTGAAAACATATAACACAAAGGAGCACTAGCATCTTACTAGGAGAGTAATACACTCTACTAATTTCTGTCTCTTATACACATCTAGATGTGTATAAGAGACAGACTGTAGTCTCTGCTGCAGCAGATGAAACCCTGCGATTATGGAAATGTTTTGAAGTACCAGACAAAGTTAAAAAATCCTCAGCATCTGCCAAGAAGCTTGGTGCTTTGAGTATGAGACAGAGCATAAGGTGATGCCTTGTTGTTAGATACAGAGAGCACAACTGTATAAATTGTACACAGTGTAAAACTGAAAGATTAGAAGGATTAGAAGCAAATTTGTTCATAATCACTTGACTAGATAAAATGGATGAAAACACTAATCAAATAATCAAAATGTAGTGGGATCTTTATTAATGTTATTACAGATTTGAGTCAAGTAAAAATTATCATGGAAAGTCACGTACAGAAAAATTTGTACAGTATTTTGCATATAGCAAAATTGAAATTCAATGTAGTTTGAGGGTGCACATTTGCGGGGTAACTCACACAGTTATGGGTAATAAATTGAAGTCCTTACCAATCCAGATGTCATATCCACTAATTAATGTTTGAATCCACTTCTGATGCTCTATGGAATTTACTGTTATCAAGTTGCCATTAAATCTGAAGAAATAAAGTAACAGAACTTTATACTGTATTCAAATGGATAAAAACCTGTATCACCATAACAGTATTTTTCCCAAGGCTGTTTTTCTTACTAACATACAATGAATATAAAAGACTGTACAATGTACTACTACATTTTTTACATATCTTTTTTTCTTAAATAAGAACATATAGACCTAACAATATGCACCTATAAAGTCCACCTTTATGTATATATTTTCTTCTTAACTAGGAATGCAAGGTAGGCTTACTAAATAGACAATATTTAATAACATAACATTAAGTACATTCCATCCACATGACTTAAGATTCAAAAGTTGAATTATATACAATGTCCACTAGAGAAACAAACAAGATTCAGACAATATAAGGACTTACTTATAAATAAAATACTTGTATATTAATTTAAAATAATATCATGTTAAATTATTCTTTATACATTTTAGATACCTATTCACAATTTTAACATTTTAACACTCATTTTTTAAATTTTTAGGTATGTTAAATATATTACACTTTAATATTTAAGAACGAAATATACATACTTTTATTACACAGATTTAATTGTATAATGGGATTTTCATCATTGTATTGCTTTATTGTATGGGCGTTTCCTTTGTTTTCAAGTTTGTATTTTTAATATAAACTTAAGAACATATTATATTATTATTAAAAATTCAGGTCAACCACTGATGGCACCAGGATCCAGTAGAAGTGTTTCTTGCATACCAAAATTACTACAGTACCAATTTCCATAAAGACATTTTTCAAATTAAACCAATACTATTTTGAACGACGGTTTTTACCCAACTTCAGTTAAGCTTCACCAGATACTAGGCTGCATGTTGTTGCCTCACCTGTTGGTTGCTTTAGTCGTTTTGAGAGGTTTGTAGTATATGTAATAATTGGTGTGAGCCTTTATTTCTATTCATGTTGTTCTTCTGTTATCTTTAGGTTTTTATTGTATATTATTATTAACTTCCAAGTCTAGTATGGGATTTTTTTTATGGTACATATGATCTGTTGTAACTGATTTGTGTAATTTACTAGACAATGTTTTATCTGCTGGCCCTTAGGTTACTCCTTTATAAACTTTGAGTAGCTGAGGAAATAGCTAAAGTGACTAATTAAATGCACTCTCTCCAAACAACAATATATATTCATACTGAATTTATACTGTTATACTGTTCTCCTTAACAAAATTATTAGTAGAAACTTACTGTTCTCTGCAGAATCTCTGAGCTTCATTCCACGTTTTCTTATCATCTGACAGGTAATAACATTTTCCATTATAATTAGACCAACCTTAATGAATGAAAACAAAAATTAGTTGAATTGAAACAACTGTATTGTTAAAAGATATTACATTGGATATCCTTTATTGTCTAATAAAAATCCAAAGAAAATTCTCTTTGTCATAGTAAAGTACTGTACACATTATCATTTATTATTTGATGGGGCACTGACAATCACAACAAAATAGTCTGAAAATCAATGAAATATGATAATATTATTAAGGTATTATTTGCAATTACAGTATTCAATTCAATTCTTTTTCATTGTCCCAATACATAAACAAAATTACAACAGAAATTCTTTGATAATATAATACAACATGATAATATAATACAAAAATGTTGAATTTACAATACAGGTATACAAGTATACAAAAACAATTAATATAACCAAAAATAGGCAACACTTAAAAAACAATTTACAATGTTTTAATTTAATGTCAAATAATTTAAAATTTAATATTATTTAATTTAATAATGTAACTTAATCAAATATTTATAACTCTACAATTACATCTTGTGTTAAATTCAAAACTTGTACAAATCAGTATAAGTTACGTAAAGGGCATGCTTAAAATAGTTAAGGATGTAACCATGATCATGTGATCTAATTGTTCTTTCCATTTGTAACATAATCTTTTAGCCTTGTTTATTACAAGACATTACAAAATATAAAACTTCACATGATTGGAAGACCATGATGGCAGAATATTATGCAATAAAGCAAAAGATACCAAACAAACCTTTCTCACAAGCCTGCTTAACAGCATCTTCTTCTTGCGATAATTGCCAGTCTATCCAAGTTTCTCCATTACATTCATACACTTTTGAAGAGCTACCATCAATGTACAGCTCACCTATGTTAGCTGGCAAACAGGCTCTTTGGTGTACTGGCTATAGAATAGATAAATATTTTCCTGGAGTTAGTAAAAGCCTGTCAAATTTGGGGATTAGTCAGAGATGAAAAGAGGTAATTAAAAACTCAAAATATAATTACAGTACGATCTTGAATTATATGGGCACTGAAACTATCGTGTAAAATTCTAAGCTGCTAGGCATGGAAATTGTCCTCACAATCAGCCCAACTGTCATCCTAATCTAATTGTCCTCACAATCAGCCCAACTGTCATCTAATCCATATTTTTCTGCTACCCCACTGCAAAGTGGATTGCCTAAATGCGATTTCTTGATAATAATTTTTGATGATTCAAGAAAGTTTGTCATCAGTAAAATTAATTTTGCAATATATATTCTTTTTTTAACTGTTTTCACTAAAAGCCAAATTGACATGTTTAATCAAAATATCAGCATACATGCGTGTCAACATCAGTAGCTGCCAATACATCAGTTGTAAGAGATATTTCCCCTCCCTCTGGTAGTGAGAGATTCTTAACGAGGCCAGGCAAAATCTGAGGAACTCCATCATTAACTGGAGCAATAATCACTAGAAGATCTCTTGTTGCAGTGTGGATTCCATCATTTGCTGTCAGTGTAATGGAATCCCTCAAAGTTTCTGAGCCATCATGAACATACCTGCCAAAACAAATAAGATTTCTCAATGTACAAAGTATTTATTATTCAGTAGGTATGAGGCATAATCATATGATTTTTGTTGAACACTGAAAAAAAATTGCGCATCAGGATTTGATCAGTTGTTAATCATTTTCAAGCTGAAGTAGTGATGAAATTGGCATCGACATACTATTAAACAGCTTGCACAATTAACAATAGTTTCTATCGTATTATTTTAATTTGTTGAATCAATGTTTTACAGCCATTTCGTAAGCAAATTAGATTCATAAAGCACATTTTTAAATATGAATATATATTATACAGTATACAGAATCTAGTTATATATTATGATTATATAACTTCAAATTACATACACTACAAAAATTTGAATGATAATCGAATCACCTGCCATTTCGTGAGCAAATTAGATTCAGAAAGCACATTTTAAAATATAAATATATGTAGCATACAGAATTTAGTAAATATATTATGAGTATAATTTCAAATTAAATACACTACAAAAATTTGAATGATAATCAAATCACCTGCCTTTACCTTAATCTTTGCTGCTTAATATCTTGCATTGAAAAAGTTTCCCCACTGGCCAGGTTCACATTTTTTAATTGTAGACTGCCATGATGTGGAGTTGCTGTCACTCGTAGAATCACACTACTCAATTCTGTATCCATATCAGTTACTGCTAACATCAAATGAGTTATAATGGTTGAGTCACCCTCTCTCACCATTATATCATTACACAGGATTTCAGGTGTTTGGTTATCAACTGGAAGAATTGTTATATTAAAAACTTGACCAAGAACAGAATTACCATGTTTATCATGAACAGAATAAATAAATTGTACAGTCCGAGCATGTGGCCCAATTTCTTTAAATGGTGGCATGTATGCAATCCTGAGGTGATCAATCTCCTCTTGTGTGAAGGATGTGATGACTTCATGTTGAGGATCTTTAGATAGCACTGCCATTCCGGATGTTGATATTATTCGTCCAGCATCTGTCAGACTGTATGTATCTGCAAAATGCGGTGGTGTTGTGATGACATACAAGAGTTCCTCATCTGGTGATTCAGCATCAGTGTAACGTAAATTTTGTTGAGTTATAATACCAATTTCTGTTTCAAACACAGAAATTCCAAGAGTAGTGCCTACCACCAAATATGGTGGCAGATCATCTACTGGCTCAATCATTACCATAACCAGTTGCCTTGGAGACATGTTTGGAGGAATTTGGTTATCAAGGAGAACAATATCAAAAAAGTCTTCAAAGATTTCTTCACCAAGGTGACTATAATAAATGCGGCCATGTTGCAAATCTCTCTGAGTAAATTCAGTCACAGGATATCCAAAAGCTTCAGGTGAAAACTTTTTCAGGATCTCTCCAGCAGATGGTGGAACCATAATTTTAAATAAAATAAAGTCATTTGGAGAATCGACATCTGAAGCCAGAAGAAGGTCTTTTGTAATTCTTAACACTGCACCCTCATTCACACTGAACTGCACATTACGAATCAGATAAGGTGCTGTATCATCTTTAGGTAAGATATTGATTGGGAAAGTGGCGTGGACGCTGTTTCTTATATCACTAACACGGAGTTCTATGCTATCACTTTCTGAATCTGAATCATCATGCTGGTATGTTATAAGACCATTTAAAATATCGGTTGGAGTGAACAACACTACTGTACTGTCTCCTTTGTATAACTTGCCATGCAACAAACCACCCATCACTTTAATGCGCACTCTGTCAATGTTATCATTGTCAACAATCTGAAGGTGGTCAGAGGATATGATGCGAGATTGCCCTTCTAGCAAAGACAAACCTTTGTTAATGATGATCCTTGGGGCATCAGTAACAGAGTTGCGTACAGAAAACATCAGATTAATCAACTTACTTTTAGCAAAATAGTTATCATAAACGATAAAACTCATTTCAAAATTCCTTCTTTCGGAGGAACTTGTGTTTGGTGGTTTGTAGGCAATGTTCAACATCTGTACATCATACTGCTTGAATGACACGATTGGCTGTGATTGGTCGTTGAGATGTACTATATAGCCTTCACTCATGTTAATCTTACTCACAACTTCAAATATTAATTCACCTTTGGCTGTCTCATCATCCTTGGCAGAAAGAATCGATGGAGCAATTGTAGTAAGAATAAATTGGTCCACTTCTAATACATACATGCTCATGTGCAATGCAGTTGGAGGCTGGTTTGGAAATGCAGCCTCAATATCAACAGGCAGATAGTATGTTTCTTCAATTGGTTCATCACTGCTATTTGGCTCACTAACTTCCACAGTAAGTGCAATAAAATCAATATTAGGTGTTGGTGGAATCAAATGTTCATACCGTATTCCAAGCTGAATAAAATCATCACATGGAACGCTCAATGTTCGAATTCTTCTTGTATTTCCCGACTGCTGGCTGACCAATTGTCCAAAAGCAGGTAATTGACTTGTCATAGTTTGAATATTTATCATACAAAATGCCCCAACAGACTCGGAATAATTGAAAGCTATTACACTTGAGTCAATTAAATTGGAAAAGCCATTAAAATTTGATACTGTTAAATGACTTTTAGGTTGAAAGATTTGATAAGAATCATTTCTTATTGTGATATTCACCACAAATGTTTCTTGAAATGTTGTATATATATATATATATATATATCTGTCTCTTATACACATCTAGATGTGTATAAGAGACAGATTATAATACTGATCTGATGTACAAAGTTCTTTGCTACGATTGGTCGTTACCTTTGGGGAGAAGTTAATGCCACCACCTACCACCAAGCACGTCGAGTTGAGGCCAACCGAGGCCAAGGGCTAACAACAGAACTGTGCTTTGACATATTAAGACATAAGAAAACGTGATATTGAATATATTTTTAATACCTGGGTTTACAAACAAATGATATACTGAATCTCAACGCCAGGAAACTTCAGCAATAGGTGAAAAACTAACAGAACTTTACCTCACTTTCCCGACAACAACAATGGACCAATAAGACTTGCCACAAGTGCCTTGTTTTAGTTTTTGCTCCGTCTGGACAGCGCCGCCAACGAGCGAATTAAGTTGTGCAAAGCCTGTTGTTTTTTCTTCCTCTCTAAATCTGCTCCTTATAATTTGAAATCTAGAATCTTCGAAGCAATAAATTATCCGGGGCACACTGCGACAACAAGGCGTGAAAAAAAAATCACTTATAAGAACGATCCACTAAGACTGCCACCTACAATCAGCGGTTATCGTAAAAAACTAAAATCGAATGAGCACAGACTGAATCACACACTATTGTTTTAATTCGTTTTTTTTTTTTTTTTTTTGGGGGGGGGGGGGGGAGAATGGCTTTCCCCAGCAGTAGCTGGAAAAGCCATTTTTTTCCCTTCAATATCGTTTTTCCTATCTTTTTGCACTGAGTTTTTCCACCTGGAACTTTGGTCACTTTCCATGCTTAGATCTTTTCATACTTTGTCGAACCATAGACCACATACTTTGTCGAACCATAGACCACATATCAAGGATGTGCTCCTAATATTTAGTGTCGATCTAGTAGTGGGGTGGGGATGCGAGGACCAATTAAAGATCTGAGGGCAACACTCTACACCAGATCTTTCAAAAACGATCAACTGATCTGAATGAAACTTTCGATAAAGTTTAACCAAGTTACAAGAAATTATTTTGTGTTGGTGACGATAGGGTGTGATTTTGAGGATCACTTAAAGTGCTAATGTCCCAGTTATAAATGGATCTAAATGAAACTTTCCAGAATAGTTTTTCATGGTCCATTAAAGAGATTATTTAATTTTAATTTTGGTGACGATCCGGAGTAATTAATTTTTCTTCTTCCTATTTTTTTTGCAGTTTTCCTGACTGGCACTTTGGTGACTTTCTCTGCCCTAATCTTCTTCAAACATTGTCCAAGCAAAGAACATATCAACGATGTAAATATCAAATCATTCTACATATTTTGATTAATAGCAGTCATATTTGCCCGACGTCGAGTTGCTGTTCGTGTGTTTAACGTAATTATTTTCTGTAGGATTTCATTTTTATTTTTTGTGTGTTATTTTATGCTAGACAATTTAAATCTTATTATTTTTATTTTGAATTTCAACATCACTTCTCATTATAGCAATGAGGAAAAGCCCTATGCTCTGTTTTACAGACACAGTAAGTCTAATTTGTAATTGTTATTGTATATTTGATGGTTGAATTGTTTGTATTTTGTCTTTTTCACTTAAACCCTTGAAATTTTTATATTTTTTAAATTGTCGATTGATTGAATCTTCAATATTTTTATATGTCTGCTTTACATGCATATATATATATATATATATATATATATATAAGGTATTATATATAATGTAATATATATAATGTAATATATATATATAATTTAATGTAATATCAACTCTATAAGAGGCAATTAAGATGAAATTGAATATTCAAGCGTTAAATAAGGGTGTGGGATTGCCGTATAACAGTTGGCTGATAGTGTGTGTGCCCAGCATAATGTATTTGTGAAGTAGATTGCAACTTCATAATTAGACAATGTACAGTGGGAACTATCAACAGATGTTGAAGGTGTTTAACAATTCCTTATATTTTATGTTTTTTTGTATTAATTTTCAGGAAATATTAAAAAAATGAAAATGTAAACTCATTATATTTATTTAATCAGATCCAGCTGAAAAATGTAAAAATGAACAAGTAAAATAAACATGTAAAAATGAAAAAAATTATCTCTCAATATTTACTATAATTAAACTTAATCATTCCATCTTCCACAATAAAGACTACAATAGAGCAATAAATAAAATGGAAACAAGTAAATTAAGCTTTTCCTACAAAAACTTCAAATTTACTATTTTCTTGTACAGTATAGTATTTTAAAAATGTTAAACTAAAATGTTTGAATTTACTGTAGTGCTGTCTCTAATTGAGTTTTTTCACAGCACCAATAACAAAATTGATATTTCACAGATTAGGCTACAAAGTACATTCCCTCAGTCATCCATATACTCTGTATTACTTACATTACTACAATATTGATGATTAAATTTGCCTACTAATGCATATACTGTATATATATAAAATATACATTACTTAAATAATAAAAACAATTTTGACACACTGGGATCATAGATTTGATTGTAATAATCTTGCTTAAAAAAATAAATTATTAAACTGAATTGCATTATACCCATTTTTTTTTTAAAGATTTAACATATCTGTTCACAGCACACATCAAATTAAGGATCACAAGTCATGAATTTAAAAGGTGGTGTGCAAACAGGCAAATATATAGTACACAAACCAGGCAAATACAGATGTCAGTCTATCTGTGCAAGTGTAAACCAAACTATGGTATACATCCGTCACAAATATGTGGTCATCTAATAAAGTACAAACCAGTGGACAACAAAGGGTAATCTATGGTGACATTTAGATCAAACTATGGTTTATACTTACATGCCAGATAATAAATATATGGTTATCTTATTGAGCACAGCCCAGGCCAACACATGATATACAAACCAGGCAGTGGTGGCACCACCATCGGGCAGGCCAAGAGGCCTCAGACCCATTAGAATAACCATCATTACCTTTCATATGACCATCAACATCACCACTAGTATGCCCATCAACATCGCCACTAGCATGCCCATCAACATCACCACTAGCATGACCATCAACATCACTGTTAGCATGACCATCAGCACCACCATTAGCATGACCATCAACACCACATTTAGCATGACCATCAACATCACTGCTAGCATGACCATCAACACCACCATTAGCATGACCATCAACACCACATTTAGCATGCCCTCAATACCACTTTTAATAACAAAACTATCAATTTAATTACATTCCCATATAATTTTACTTTCTGGACTTAGAAAATGGTGAATGGTTATTCCCATGGGAAGCAAATGCATTAAAAAATATGAGTTGTAGTTAATCTATTAAAGGTCTCATCTCATCTTGTCAAATTGATAAACCAAAAGAAATAATTATACCAATGTTGGCTATGTTAAAATTAATGTAAAACTGTCATGTACAACAACACAGATAGTTAAAGATCATATATTTGTATACATAAACAGCACTAGTGTATTTTTATGTACAAGTTAATATACATATTAATATCTATAGATTTACACCAATTTTTAGGAAGAAATTTTATTTAAAATATGGGGCTGTAGCTTGGTGGTTCTTGACTTTTAATCCCAGAGTCATTGTACAGTATTTTTCTCACAATCAAAGTCACCAATCTCTGAACCTCATAATGAGACAGTTTATAAAGCATTACATTAATTTTAATATCAGCCAACCTAGGAAAAGCTGGAAAGGTCTCCCTCTATAAATATGGTTAAAAATATAATGTACTCAAAACTATTATTTTCTAATAGAAACTTTTCTATTACACTTACCAATGGTTGATCAGGTTTTAACAAATAATTTATAATATTCTTATTTAATATATAGTTACTGTACAAACATAACTGAATGAGAATTGTTTCAAACAAACAGCTATAATGGTTTGTAGATTCAAGATAACTATGTACACATTAAACAACAATTGCCACAACATTAAAAGGATATTTATGTTGTTTATGAAAGATTGAAGAAAACCTGGAGAGGCCAAGTGGAATGTAGCTCTATATTTTCTACAGACTTCTAAAAATACAATATTTGTTTTGAACTGTACCATGATGCTGATATTGACATTGAAATATGAACATTCAATTTACAGTACTTAACCAAAATTCTAAACACTTAACATGTTGGTGTTGCAAAGAGTCAGAATTGAAATAATATGACAACTTAATGGCAAATATATTTAACTGCCATCAGAAAGCAGATGTACTTATTCATTTTCCAGGTACTAATTTTTGAACTGAAGATGATCAGAATCAAAATTAGGATAACTTTATTGATTTCCAAATGAAGAAATTGTCGAGTGAGAAAATTTAATTTATACAACATTTCAATACTATTTGTTAACAGTAAGATCATGTGTTCTGAAGCAGTTGCTCTAACACTTACTACTGATTTGTTGATTGTGTATGAGTGTAATGAGTATATTTTAAAACTTTTTTGGGTTACCCGAGAAATTAATGTGTTATCTGTTGTTCTTAATTATTTATCTGTTCTTTGCTTTTGTTTTATATTCAAGTTATATGTGATTTTAATTCCTGAATAAAATTAAATGAGACAACAATTAAAAATGTACAAAGAAAGTTTAATAATGATGCCAGTGTTCTGTGACATTTTGTGAAGTAAGCACTTGAGTTAGTTTTTGATTAGTCATTTAAAGGGCATTTTATATTATCAAACAAGATATAAATAAAAAATCAGTTTCATTAGCGTTATATATACATACATACCAGAAATACATAGTATGTACAAAGCTTCATATTAATAACAACTGCCAGGAATGTTTTTGAAATTGAGAATTTATGATTTCAAATATTTTATCAGTTTTCTAGGATTTTAACATTATGTAGAATGTCAGACTGCTTTATCTTAAACAGTAATGTTTAATTATTTGTGACAAACAATTATGAATTAGAGTTTTATAAGAAAAATAATATAATAATAATGAACATGGTAATGGTGTAAATAATAATAGATAATAATTTTAAATATAGTTTATCTGTATTGTGAGCAAGTCAGCAGAAAGTAGCATGTCAAAAGAATGTAGCAAGCCATGACATACAAAATTTAGAATCTCAAAAGATTTAGGAATTACAATTGATGTAGCAAAATAACCAGATGTAGCAAGTCAACATAATATAGCAAGACAACCATATGTAGCAAGATATACAAAAAGTCCACTTGATGTATTCACCAGTAGGTCAACATTATGTAGCAAGATAAACTTATTTCACAAAATAACCAGATGTAGCAAGTTATCTTGATGAAATCACCAGCAAGTCAACATGATGTAGCAAGATATCAAAATGTAGCAAGTCATCTTGATGCATCACAGGATGAAGCAAATTAATTAGATGTAGCAATCAATATAATGCTGCTAGTAAATAGTTACTGTACTTCCTTGATATGATGTAGCAAGTCAGCATGATGCATCACCAACTATTACTTCAATACCTACTTTCAACCTGTCTAACTGTTGCCCATTATCGTCGTTAAAAAGAATTGCATGTGGTTGGTCCAAAATCTAACCGTAATAGGAAGAAAAAGACAAGGTTTTAAAAGATTTTCCTATTAGTTCTTCAGTGGTTATTTTTCAAAGTTGCATTAGTTAAGAATATTTTTTTTTTATTAACTTACTGCATCAAACTTAACTTCCTGGAATAACTCTTGAATAAACCTTCTGGCTGAGAGGCGGAAAGTATGAGTTGCAAGTGTGTGACACACATCAGAATACAGACATATGTCTTCAAAAATATGTGGAAACTTCTCTTTTAAACTACAAAAAAGTAAACATATTTTATAATTTACAAACAAAACTGAATATAATCAACTTAAATGTTTGAATTGGAGTTGCATGTGCAGTATATGTTCACTAATTCATTTAAATTATCTATATTATATAATTAAACCCCTAATAAAGGAAATTATAAATGATCCTTCTTATATCATTAAATACTTAATTTAGAAGGCACTTGACAATTGGTTTCTTTTTTATTTGTATTATTTTATTTATTTATTATTATTATTTTTTTAAATCTCAAATCAAGTACTAACCTATAAAATGATCTTTCTTATTTCATTAAATATCTAATTAAGTAATTTTTTTAAAATTTTCTTCACAACCAACAGCAAGAAGACTTGCCACCTATAAAATTTTGATTACACACTGGCAACACATTTTTTTTTTACAATAGATGTGTACAGTATTAATATATATGTACCTGCACTTGTTTTGATGGATGAATAGAGAAAATATATTTTATTGTATTGAGAATCTACCAAATTATAACCTAGATTAGTAGTGGCTTACTTTAATAGACCCTGTTCTTGGGCTTTCCTTCTCACAGAGCTGCACATATTACTAACAAACTGCATGAGTTCTTTGCGTAAAAGTTCACGTCCATGTCTTGAATGGTATGATATGTATCTTGATAAGCTAAGTCGAGAAAAGTTGCTGGTCTCGCTGGATGGACTAATTGAGAATTCTCCATTTTCACATAAACTTTCAACTTGAAGGTTATCTTGTTTTATTTCAGTTGCTTCACATTCGCTAACAGAACGCAACCTTCCATATTCTAAAAATAAAGGTACATGATCAACAAGAAACCCACACACCAATGGCGACATATTTTACAAGTGAGATACTTACTGAATAAAACCACATGGAATGGATGGGTTAATAAACCCACATGTAATTAATAGTATTCATGAAATAGACTGGATTGGATTTATTCGTTGTAAATACCAAAGATAACCCACGAATGTCCGAAGCAGACTTATTCTTTCAGTGGGGTCCTTTTGTGTAGTGACTGGGCATTTGGCCATTTAACTCACCCTGGGCTACGAAAAAATGGAAATTTCATAACAAATTAAAAATGAATTAAAAATATTTTACACTAAGTATTACAGTTGGTGTGTTGTGGGAAACAAGCTTTAAAGGCCTACTGCAAACATCTTCAGGGATAAGAGAATAAACAATAAAATCCTTGAAAAAATTCATGTAGTTCCTATAATATATGATGTTGAACTTTCATTTTTGATTAAACCTAAACAACATCAGCATTTACCGTTTCGATCACAATCAGAGATCTTTTCCAACTGACTGAGTTGTTACACAATCTATCATCGGACTGATCGGCCTGACCAGACTGAAGTAACAACACAGTCAGTTGAAAAAGATCGCTGATGTTGAAACATCCAGGTAAATGCCGATGTTATTTTGGTTTGATCATAAATGAAAGTTCCACATAAAAACAAAATAATGTCATCGAAAATTAACATATTCAATCAAACTGCAAAAACTATTACCATTTTCAATTTCATCTTGAATGCCATTAGAACAAAGGAAACAGAATTCTTTCTGATGCATATCGTCTTCTGTGTATGTGCTATATCTGCCTCTTAGAGTGTTTCTTGTCACATGCCCAACGGATTGGTTTTCGTAAGATTCTGACAAACTTGATCCTTGAGGCGACGTTGGCAACAATGTTTGGAATGAGGTACTAAGGTTTTTGTGCTTTGAAAAACGCACATTATCAACGCAGGCTACTTGAAGCTGTGATTGGCAGTTATCTGATAATTTACATGAATGCTGGCGATACAAAGATTCATCATCCTGACAAAGAAAATAATTTTTTTTATTTCATTATTCATCCATAAATAATTCAATGTCATGCAACAAATACAAATTAAATTAAATTAAAAACCACTTTCTCTGTTATCTTTAAGGAGCCACTGGAACTCAGAAAGGATCCAAGTTCAAACACACCTGTGATTAAGGCCGTGTTTCCGCAGCACTTACAATTTCTTCCGATAAATTATCTTAAAATTTCCTCCAAATATTTTATCCCATCATGTAACATCATGGACAACAATGCAATGTGTTCAACATTGCCTTAGAAACTAACTACCCAAAAGAATTCTTTGCATGACCGTGATCTGACATCGGTGTCAAAGGTTATTTATTTAAAGATTCAGATTTTTTCCAATAAATTTTCTGATTCTCATGCAAAAATTTATTGGAAACTTTGGGCCCCGTTTCCACAGAGAGAAAAAATAATGGCTGCTTTCCGATAATTTTAATAAGTGCTGTGGAAACACGGCCTTATAGATTACATTGTAAAGTTATTCTTCTTCTGGAACAGCATGCCAGTTATACCAACGTACCTTAAATTCATTTTGCTTACAGTTGGTATCAAACATATAATTTTCAATTTGGTAAAAATTTCTTATTTCAATTAATGCGTCCTTGAAGATAGGTATACAATATTTTCTGACAGAGAAAATCATGAATTAGTATTTTGCAAATGTAAATGGTTGTGTTTTGTATGTATCATTTAATTGGATGACAAATTATAATTTAATAGCTTTGTGGTTAAAGAAAAGGCTCCAACGGAGAACAGTTTTGATATGTTTCATATATAATTCTTTTATATAAGACTTTGAATGGGTGTTTGATGGGCCTAGTAAGATACACTTTCCTTAAATATCAAAAATTTGTATCTTATTAACCATTCCAGATTATTTCTTCAAACACCCCTTCCAATGAATATCTATTTTTAAAACATATCAAAAATAGATTTTTTCTTTAAAGCCTCGCTTTAAAGCATCATACTTAGATAAATCAAATATAATAAGTGGAATTATCTAATCAACAAATATGATTAAAATTTAAAAAATTAAATATCTAAATCAAAATAAATTGTAACTTACATGGAAAATTAGATGAACATCGACAGGTAAACAAAGCCCCATGTAGCCTCCAACAGCAGATGTAAGGCCTTGATTTGACATGGGGGATGGCAGACAAGGCATACTACTATAGCCAGTCAATGATCCTGAGCTCTTGCTTCTAAAATAACATCATTTAATACAATCATTAGTATGGCTTTTGGCTAAGTTATTATTTCATTTAAATTATTTCGCTAAAATGTTAAAATACATACAAAGGACAAAATAAAAGAAAGGACATGACAATACCCTTTGTTGGTGGCAGGATAAACAAAAAGTAATGTTAATTGCTGTGAACAGTTTTCCCTCCGACAAGGGTATAACAGTAACGTTCAAAGCAAAAATATTTTATACAAAAAAAAAATTGAATACATTTATGAACTGCTTCATAACCACAATGCACTTAATAACAGAAAGTAGATTTTAATATATAAAAATTCAATTCTAATGCATTATAAATTTAGAATAACAATAGGAAATAACAATGTACTCACGTAGGGAATTTTGAATGAGAAAATTCCTCATCTTCAAAGGAACTCTTATGGCCACATTCATCTACTGACAATCTTCTGTGTAACTGAAGAGCTCTCAACGCAGCATATCCATTTGCATCTCGTCGACTCGTAAATACTGCATTTGTTTCAAATGTTCCTTCTGAATTCTTTCCAAAGCTTCTTGGAAGAGTCCTGGAAACACGTTGTGTAAAACTTGGGGTTCTATGCAAGTTGTACTGCCTTCTTGTTGCATCAGAAGAGTGAACGGTTTTAACAGTCTGACCACTAATAACAGTACTAAGACTTGTCATTGATGAATCATTATGAGGACTAGATGCATGTGAAATCATAGAGCTGATCCCACTAGTTTGTGTAGTGTCAGTGGTGAAGCTTTCGCTCCTGCTCTTTGAACAAGCACTGCCACGCCCAGAACTCTCATTACTGTTACTTCTAAATTTCAAACTGTGACTACGATCCCTGACAACAGGTTGAGAGGGATGTGGGGACTCAGTTTGCATCCTACTCTTGGACTGTGCAATGTGTGAGGAATGCACCATTGTTATTAGGTTTTTTGATCTAGCTTTGCTATCACTATTACTTCTTATCTTTTGTAATGGGCTCTTCAATAATACATCATTGTTTGCATCCATTGATGGCATAGTCTTTACTCGTCTCAAGTCATTAGTCCTTGGAATACGTCTATCTTGATTTGCTGCAATTTCTCTCCGAATTCCCGAATTAGATTTACTATAGCCATCAGTATCAGCTGCTTGATACAGTGGAAAACCAATCTTATCTTTGTTTTTGTACTTAACTGAAGATTCAACATGTGGGGTTTTTTGAGCCCCAGTAGCTAGTTTATGTTCTCCTCTATCATCAATGCTCAAAAAAAATGTGGACTTTGGATTTTCAGCAGTACTTGGACTTTCACCCCCATCAAAAAACAGGCTCTGAAGTTCTGGATTAGGACTTGATTCATCCAATAGAAAAGGTGAAGGACTGTCAGTTCTTGTACTAACACTATCAAAACTTGAGACTGATGTACTTTCACAAAGATGTCCCTTTTCATTAAAGATACCATCTTGTACTTCAACCACAGGCCAACGGTCTCTTCTACTGTGTCTAATACTCTCCCATCCTAACGTGCTGAGAATATCTGAACCCTGTTTTGTCTTGGCAAGCAGGCCAAGTACATTAAAACAGGTTCTGAAACAAAACATTCAAAACTTTTACCTAGTAATACATATACACACACTTATAAGTTTAAACAGTAAATAAATAAATAAATGAATAAATAAATAAATAACAAGGTGACAACAGCAATGCATTAGCACATTTTGTGTTCTCTATCTTTACCTTAATTGTTACCATGGTTACATAGTCAAATATATACTGAATACCGAATACTTACAGTATATACCAAGTACTTTGGGCCACAGACCATTATCAATTTGATACGGGTCTATGACCAAAGTGATCAGTACCTATTCTTTTCAAATAAATTTTGAGCAAAATCTTCACTGTATATGTTTTATTTTTTATTATATATTTGATTTGATTTGAATTTATTTAGCAATCAGGGTAAAATATAAAACAAGGAAAAACAATACAAGGAAAAACAATACAATTGAATACTCTGAAAGCAAGGAATAGCTGAAAAAGGTTTCAAAGAAATGTATTTCCATTGGGATCCTGTAATATATATATATATATAAAAATTTAAATATTTCAACTCAGGAATTCTGTTTGTTTAATATCGTCTGCTAAAGAATGAAATAAAGTAAGTCTGAATCTGCATTCAAGTCCAATTAATCACTGAATCAACCATTCCTTCAATTAATCACTTTGACTTGATGCCACTGTTCTTTCAAATTAAATTAAAGCTAATTTTATTAAATTTATTGAATATAATGAATTGTGCCTACCCCCTGACTGAAAATACACTACATTCTTCAGCAAGTCGTATGACATCTGGAATGATCTCCTCTTTCTCTAGTAATTTCAATCCCCAATTACTACTTCCAATATGACCCTAACAAGAGGTAAAAGAACATCAATATTAAAAGCAACTGAACATTTCCATGATATATAAAATATTACTATAAAAATATTATAACTGCCAACTCATAAAGAGCCCAAAGAGCAGGCTTCAACAATACTGTACTATTGTTAATGGTAAAAAAAATCTAAAAAACAACAAAAAGCACCATCAACTTGTTTATTACTTACCAGAGCCCAAAGGGAGGCTTTCAAATTCAAAACTCCATCACAAGTCAACAGGTCTGGGTAATGGATTATGCGACAAAATTCACTCAAATGATCCTTAATTATTGAAAGAAAGCAAAGAACATGTTATTAGTCTAAATAAATACACTATTTACTATGCAATAATGTAATTTATAATAACTATATTTCAATACATCTACACTAGGCACTTCATCTGCATTGCTTGTCTCCACTCAGGAGTACAAGTCCTTTGGCATTAAACCCGGAAGGGTTAAATGCCAAAATGTACTGATTAGCTGCTGCAACATTTATATGCAATACTCCCCTGGGGTGCTGAGTTGTGTTGCATAGGCATTTAATTCAATGACCACAGTAATGATAATGTAAATCTCATAGAGGGCTTATCATGATGCGCTTCATAAGTCTACCATTGAGAGCACTGTTGGAAATAAGAGTTTGAATTTGTTTAAAAATTGTCTGATGGCCCTGGAACCAAAATGACTTGACCTGCACTCGAAATTACTTGAATTTTGTTTCTTTTCATTCACATCAAGCAGAAGTAATTCACAAATTACAGGATGGATGGTGCTTTATAAACCAAGTTGCTTTATGAGGCTTCGGCAGTGGGGTTATATTTAGTCGTGAGAAGAAAATCCTGCTGTCATTTCCTCCTCTCAGACAGAATAGCTT